AGGTGAGGAAGAGAGGAGCAGCCGTTGATTACACGGTAACAGGTGAGGAAGAGAGGAGCAGCCGTTGATTACACGGTAACAGGTGAGGAAGAGAGGAGCAGCCGTTGATTACACGGTAACAGGTGAGGAAGAGAGGAGCAGCCGTTGATTACACGGTAACAGGTGAGGAAGAGAGGAGCAGCCGTTGATTACACGGAAACAGGTGAGGAAGAGAGGAGCAGCCGTTGATTACACGGTAACAGGTGAGGAAGAGAGGAGCAGCCGTTGATTACACGGCAACAGGTGAGGAAGAGAGGAGCAGCCGTTGATTACACGGTAACAGGTGAGGAAGAGAGGAGCAGCCGTTGATTACACGGGAACAGGTGAGGAAGAGAGGAGCAGCCGTTGATTACACGGTAACAGGTAAGGAAGAGAGGAGCAGCCGTTGATTACACGGTAACAGGTGAGGAAGAGAGGAGCAGCCGTTGATTACACGGTAACAGGTGAGGAAGAGAGGAGCAGCCGTTGATTACACGGTAACAGGTGAGGAAGAGAGGAGCAGCCGTTGATTACACGGAAACAGGTGAGGAAGAGAGGAGCAGCCGTTGATTACACGGTAACAGGTGAGGAAGAGAGGAGCAGCCGTTGATTACACGGCAACAGGTGAGGAAGAGAGGAGCAGCCGTTGATTACACGGTAACAGGTGAGGAAGAGAGGAGCAGCCGTTGATTACACGGTAACAGGTGAGGAAGAGAGGAGCAGCCGTTGAACGGTAACAGGTGAGGAAGAGAGGAGCAGCCGTTATACAGGTCGAGGAAGAGAGGAGCAGCCGTTGATTACACGGTAACAGGTGAGGAAGAGAGGAGCAGCCGTTGATTACACGGTAACAGGTGAGAGAGAGGAGCAGCCGTTGATTACACGGAAACAGGTGAGGAAGAGAGGAGCAGCCGTTGATTACACGTAACAGGTGAGGAAGAGAGAGCAGCCGTTGATTACACGGAACAGGTGAGGAAGAGAGGAGCAGCCGTTGATTACACGGTAACAGGTGAGGAAGAGGAGCAGCCGTTGATTACACGGAACAGGTGAGGAAGAGAGGAGCAGCCGTTGATTACACGGTAACAGGTAAGGAAGAGAGGAGCAGCCGTTGATTACACGGTAACAGGTGAGGAAGAGAGGAGCAGCCGTTGATTACACGGTAACAGGTGAGGAAGAGAGGAGCAGCCGTTGATTACACGGTAACAGGTGAGGAAGAGAGGAGCAGCCGTTGATTACACGGAACAGGTGAGGAAGAGAGGAGCAGCCGTTGATTACACGGTAACAGGTGAGGAAAGAGAGCAGCCGTTGATTACACGGCAACAGGTGAGGAAGAGAGGAGCAGCCGTTGATTACACGGTAACAGGTGAGGAAGAGAGGAGCAGCCGTTGATTACACGGCAACAGGTGAGGAAGAGAGGAGCAGCCGTTGATTACACGGTAACAGGTGAGGGAAGAGAGGAGCAGCCGTTGATTACACGGAACAGGTGAGGAAGAGAGGAGCAGCCGTTGATTACACGGTAACAGGTGAGGAAGAGAGGAGCAGCCGTTGATTACACGGTAACAGGTGAGGAAGAGAGGAGCAGCCGTTGATTACACAGAAACAGGTGAGGAAGAGAGGAGCAGCGTTGATTACACGGTAACAGGTGAGAAGAGAGGAGCAGCTGTTGATTACACGGTAACAGTGAGAAGAGAGGCAGCCGTTGATTACACGGTAACAGGTGAGGAAGAGAGGAGCAGCCGTTGATTACACGGTAACAGGTGAGGAGAGAGGAGCAGCCGTTGATTACGGTAACAGGTGAGGAAGAGAGGAGCAAGCCGTTTTTCTGATTAACACGGTAACAGGTGAGGAAGAGAGGAGCAGCCGTTGATTACACGGTAACAGGTGAGGAAGAGAGGAGCAGCCGTTGATTACACGGAAACAGGTGAGGAAGAGAGGAGCAGCCGTTGATTACACGGTAACAGGTGAGGAAGAGAGGAGCAGCCGTTGACTACACGGCAACAGGTGAGGAAGAGAGGGAGCAGCCGTTGATTACACGGTAAACAGGTGAGGAAGAGAGGAGCAGCCGTTGATTACACGGTAACAGGTGAGGAAGAGAGGAGCAGCCGTTGATTACACGGTAACAGGTGAGGAAGAGAGGACAGCCGTGATTACACGGTAACAGGTGAGGAAGAGAGGACCAGCCGTTGATTACACGGAAACAGGTGAGGAAGAGAGGAGCAGCCGTTGATTACACGGAAACAGGTGAGGAAGAGAGGAGCAGCCGTTGATTACACGAAACAGGTGAGGAAGAGAGGAGCAGCCGCTTGATACACGGAAACAGGTGAGGAAGAGAGGAGCAGCCGTTGATTACACGGTAACAGGTGAGGAAGAGAGGAGCAGCCGTTGATTACACGGTAACAGGTGAGGAAGAGAGGAGCAGCCGTTGATTACACAGTAACAGGTGAGGAAGAGAGGAGCAGCCGTTGATTACACGGTAACAGGTGAGGAAGAGAGGAGCAGCCTTGATTACATGGCAAATGAGGTAACAGCTAGTCGTAACCATAGGAGAAGGAAGGAAGGAATGAGGAGGCAGAGAAGGAAGGAGTGTGAAGCAGCAGTGCGGCACAGGCACTGTGACTTGGCAAGCCCAGGTTGGTTGGGCGTGCATAGCCATGAAAATCAGATGACATCAGGCACGCCACGCCCCATGTAAACTATGCCCCCAAACCTCAATTTCCTTCCCCCCCCACAGACCATGCACCATGCACTGTGCACGATGCCCCCATGCCCCATGCCCCATGCCCCATGCCCCATGCCCCATGCCCATTGCCCCATCCCGCATGCCCCATGCCTCATACCCATGCCTCATACCCATCCCCGCATGCCCCCATGCCCTCATTATACCCCATGCCTCATACCCCATGCCTCATACCCCATCCCGCATGCCCCATCCTCATACTCCATGCCTCATACCCATCCCGCATGCCCCATGCTCATACCCATGCCTCATACCCCATGCCTCATACCCATCCCGCTGCCCCATGCCTCATACCCATGCCTCATACCCCATCCCGCATGCCCCATGCCTCATACCCCATGCCTCATACCCCATGGCTCATACCCCATCCCGCATGCCCCATGCCTCATACTCCATGCCTCATACCCATCCCGCATGCCCCATGCCTCATACCCCATGCCTCATACCCCATCCCGCATGCCCCATGCCTCATACTCCATGCCTCATACCCCATCCCGCATGCCCCATGCCTCATACCCCATGCCTCATACCCCATGGCTCATACCCCATCCCGCATGCCCCATGCCTCATACTCCATGCCTCATACCCCATCCCGCATGCCCCATGCCTCATACCCCATGCCTCATACCCCGCTCTACCCATCCCGCATGCCCCATGCCTCATACTCCATGCCTCATACCCCATCCCGCATGCCCCATGCCTCATACCCCATGCCTCATACCCCATGGCTCATACCCCATCCGCATGCCCCATGCTCATACTCCATGCCTCATACCCCATCCCGCATGCCCCATGCCTCATACCCCATGCCTCATACCCCATCCCGCATGCCCCATGCCTCATACTCCATGCCTCATACCCCATCCCATGCCATGCCTCATACCCCATGCCTCATAACCCCATCCCGCATGCCCCATGCCTCATACTCCATGCCTCATACCCCATCCCGCATGCCCATGCCTCATACCCCATGCCTCATACCCCATGGCTCATACCCCATCCCGCATGCCCCATGCCTCATACTCCATGCCTCATACCCCATCCCGCATGCCCCATGCCTCATACCCCATGCCTCATACCCCATGCCTCATACCCCATCCCGCATGCCCCATGCCTCATACTCCATGCCTCATACCCCATCCCGCATGCCCCATGGCCTCATACCCCATGCCTCATACCCCATGGCTCATACCCCATCCCGCATGCCCCATGCCTCATACTCCATGCCTCATACCCCATCCCGCATGCCCCATGCCTCATACCCCATGCCTCATACCCCATCCCCGCATGCCCCATGCCTCATACTCCATGCCTCATACCCCATCCCGCATGCCCATGCCTCATACCCCATGCCTCATACCCCATCCCGCATGCCCCATGCCTCATACCCATGCCTCATACCCCATCCCGCATGCCCCATGGCCTCATACTCCATGCCTCATACCCCATCCCGCATGCCCCATGCCTCATACCCCATGCCTCATACCCCATGGCTCATACCCCATCCCGCATGCCCCATGCCTCATACTCCATGCCTCATACCCCATCCCGCATGCCCCATGCCTCATACCCCATGCCTCATACCCCCATGCCTCATACCCCATCCCGCATGCCCCATGCCTCATACTCCATGCCTCATACCCATCCCGCATGCCCCATGCCTCATACCCCATGCCTCATACCCCATGGCTCATACCCCATCCCGCATGCCCCATGCCTCATACTCCATGCCTCATACCCCATCCCGCATGCCCCCATGCCTCATACCCATGCCTCATACCCCATCCCGCATGCCCCATGCCTCATACTCCATGCCTCATACCCCATCCCGCATGCCCCATGCCTCATACCCCATGCCTCATACCCCATGGCTCATACCCCATCCCCGCATGCCCCATGCCTCATACTCCATGCCTCATACCCCATCCCGCATGCCCCATGCCTCATACCCCATGCCTCATACCCCATGCCTCATACCCCATCCCGCATGCCCCATGCCTCATACTCCATGCCTCATACCCCATCCCGCATGGCCCCATGCCTCATACCCCATGCCTCATACCCCATGGCTCATACCCCATCCCGCATGCCCCATGCCTCATACTCCATTGCCTCATACCCCATCCCGCATGCCCCATGCCTCATACTCCATGCCTCATACCCCATCCCGCATGCCCCATGCCTCATACTCCATGCCTTCATACCCCATCCCGCATGCCGCATGCCTCATATCCCCTAACGCCCTCACCTGCCCTACCAGCGGCACGGCCCTGAGGCCGGTGGACTCAAACTTGTGCTCCGCAGAGGCGTAGCGCAAGAGGACCTCCGCTGACGTCAGCGAGGAGTGGCAGAGGAACATGGCGAGCGAGCGCACATTCTCGCGGCGCCGGCACAGCCCCAGAAACAGCATGCCGCGCTGGCGTGGGGGGTGGAGAGGGGAGGGTGCAGGGGGGGTTAGAAGATAATTGAAGAGGACGCATGCGGAGGTTAGTGAAGTGTGGGTGAGGAGCATGGCGGGCAATGACACGCACTGATGGAGCTGCCAGGCACAGGCCCAGGAACAGCACTCCTTGCTGGCACAGTGGGGGGGAAGGGGAAGGGGGGGAGGGGGGTGACGCAGAGGTTTGTACAGTGTGGAGGAGAGCGCCTGTTCTCCCGCCTCCTGCAAAGCTCGAGGCGCCGTGCTGCCGTGCTGCCGTGCTGCCGTGCTGCCGTGGTGCCGAGCTGCCGTGGTGCCGTGGTGCCGTGGAAGGGGGAGACGGCGAGGAGTAGCGGGAGCGGACGGCTGCAGAGGGCAGTGAGGCGAGGAGCAGTGCGAGTGCGAGCAGTGGCTCCAGTCTCCTCCTCCGCCTCTCGCCTCGTGGCTTCAAAGATCTCCCCCCCGCGAGAATGGAGTGAAGGAGACACGAGGAAGTGACCTTTACAAGTGTGACGGCGACAGGCGGAAGAGGAGGGAGAGGTGACAGCGGGGGGGGGGTACGAGAGGGTGAGGGGGAGGGGAAAGAGAGGGTGAAAGAGGAGGGTAGCGAGAGGGTGAGAGAGTGTGAGGAGGGCACTCACCAGCGAGTCAGCAGGCGTGCCCGTCTCCTCCTCCACCTCTCGCTTCATGCCCTCAAACATCTCCCGCGCGATGGTGGCGTTCAGTTGCGCGGAGGAGGGGGAGGACGAGTCAGAGGGGGAGGGTGGAGCTTGGGGAGAGGTGGACGAGGCATCATGCAGTGACAGAGGGCCAGCGGGGGCGAGTGGGCAGGCGGCGCTGGTGGCGGGGCAGAAATGCCCGCCTCGGACGGCTGCAGGAGGGTGAGAGGTGAGGAGCGCGCAGGCAGAGAGGGCAGGTGTGAGGAGAGACGAGATAGGTGGGAGAACCGAAGGGAGAGGAGGGGGAAGGTGGGAAAGAGGTAGGGGAAAGAAGGAGAGCAGGGGGTGGAGAGCAGGGGAATGAGGTGAGGTGCAGTTGGGGGATGAAGCACATGCTTTATGTGCGCAGGGGCGACATACCTGAAACCAGCCAGCCTGCAGACAAAGAAGACGATATAATGATGCTGCCAGGTGTTACCTCTGGGTGTCCCCCTGGGAAAACAGGGCAGTTTGGGAATTCACCCACGGCGGTGCCTCTCTGCAGCAGCAGGAAGCGCCTGTCAGCCGTCACCACCAAGGCCGCATTGCCCAGGGCGTCGCCCATGTACTGACACGCGTGGGCGTCCCGCTGCCCTATGGCCTGCTGGCACGTGGCACAGGGAGCACTGTGTCCACAGGGCTCCGCTTGTGTGCACTGTTGCGCATCAGCCTTTGCCCCGCCATCATCGACCCCACTGGCGTCGACCCCACTGGCATCAGTGCTACTGCTACCCCCCCCCGCGCCTCCATCTGCTCTCCCCATACCTCCGTCCACCTCCCCTCTGCCCCCTCCTGCTGCCTCTCTGCCCCCGCCCTCGTCTGTCTTGAGGCGCTTGCTCGGGTCGCTGCCTGAGAGGGGTGCTGCGAGGAAGCTTCGCCAATCAGAGCAGAGGTTGGTGGTGATGAGGCTCCTGGTGGGGTGGCGGGGGAGAGACGAGACGAGGGGGGGGATGGCAGAGAGGGGGGTGGTGGTGAGGTTGCTGATGGGGTGGTTGTGGATCAAGGACGGGGGGAAAGTGGTTCTTAGGCAGACGCAGAGAGGTAGTGGAGAGAAACCTGGTGGCGTGGTGGCAGGAGAGGGAGTTGATGACGACAGCAAGAACGTTCTGCAGAACACGTGCCGCCGTCTCATGTGCTTCATGCCACATCCTATGCAGCCTGCTTCAAGTCATGCTTCCCTGCCTATCCACTCACTTGCACTCCCAAAGGCCCAAGTGCAGCCCCGCACACTCAAATGCCCTCCCACCGTGCCCCTGCCCCATCCCCACATCTCCCCTCCTCCCAAGCCTCCCCCTCCCAAGGCCCCCCTGTGCCTCAATCAACAGCATGCCACTCGATTGTAATCCGTAAGTCCAGGTGCAGCCTGCAGCCGCACACACGCCCTACCGCATATCTCCCCCACCCGTCCGACCTTGCCTCCCCCTCTCACCCCACTACTCTCCCAACAGTCTCTCACTCACGTGTAATCCGTGAGCCTCAGGTAGGCTTGAGCATGAACCCGACCCGACCCGACCCGACCCGACTTTGCCCTACCCGATGTCGGGTTCGGGTCGGGTCGGGTCGGGTCAAGTCGGGTCGGAGTTCAGGAAATGTCAACCCGACCCGTGTTTAATAGGTCGGGTTCTACCTAACCCGATTTCGGGTCGGGTCGGGTCGGGTTGGCATAGGGGCAGGGACGGGTAATAAGCCGACCCGACGGGTCGGGTTTTATCGGTCGGGTCGGGTCGGGTCGGGTCGGGTACCCGAGGGTCGGGTCAACCTTCCGCAAATGTCGACCCGACCCGTCAAAAAGTCGGGTTCGGGTCGGGTTACCCGACCCGACCCGACCCGTTGCTCAAGCCTAGCCTCAGGTGCATGCTCATGTGGGCCGCCCTGCAGAGGTCGCTCAGGCGCATGCAATGCAAACCCCCACCCCCCCCTCCTTCCCCCGCCCTAACACCCTCTCACTCACTTGTAGTCCGTGAGCCCCAGGTGCAGGCACACACGTGGGCGGCCCTGCAAAGCTCCCTCAGGTGCATCTGGCGCCGCAGCAGCAGACGGGAGGGTTTCAGCGGATGGCGGCTGCAGCGAGAACCCTCCGTACTGAGGGGTACATGGGGGCGCCGGGAAGGGGGGGAGGTGGAATGGGATGGGAGGGGTTGGGACGGGATGGGATGGGATGGGATGGGGTGGGAGACTTTGCAAGAGAGATGAGGAGAAACGACATAATCAGAGAATGACAAGTGGTATAGTTGATAGTTTCTGAACATGTTGTTTTCTGCATAGACATAACCGAACACAGACGAATGAAGCGTGCAAGTAGAGAGGACCACGCATAGCCATTTGATTCTGGCTGCAGCTTGATGCATCATCTCGACCCTGCTGTAGGCCCACTGAGACCACTGGAAGACGTGCGTGTCCTCTGCGCTGTGTGGCGCAGCACAGGGCGCGATGACCGGCAGAGGTCAGGGCTGAGGAGAGCACCAGAGCAGCAAGAGAAGAGAGCATGAATAGTTTTCCCCCCACTCACTCTAGAATGCCCATGATTCAGCCACAGGGGAGAGGGCAATGCACTCACTCGGAACTTGGACCCATTGTAAAGCGAGGGCTGCCGCGCTCTGCGCCTCTGCCACTCCTGCCATGGCCGCGCATGATGGACGGGGGGACTTTTGAGTGGTGTTCACATGGCCACGCATGGTGGACGGGGGGACATTTGAGTGGTGTTCACATGGCCGCGCATGGTGGACGGGGGGAATTTTGAGTGGTGTTGACATGGCCGCGCATGGTGGACGGGGGGACTTTTGAGTGGTGTTCACATGGCCGCGCATGGTGGACGGGGGGACTTTTGAGTGGTGTTCACATGGCCGCGCATGGTGGACGGGGGGGACTTTTGAGTGGTGTTCACATGGCCGCGCATGGTGGACGGGGGGGACTTTTGAGTGGTGTTCACATGGCCGCGCATGGTGGACGGGGGGAACGGGGCGGGCGCGAGTGCATGTGAGGGTGCCGTGTGTGTGCGTGCAGGAGGATGGAGGGTGGTTGAAGACGGTCTACAGTGGGCGAGGAACACAGGACAGAGGCGGGACCAACGGGTGTGATCTCAAGAAGAAACTCAAATGAAACCTATGCCGTGTCCCACTGCATGCCGTGCCCCACTGCATGCCGTGCACCACTGCATGCCGTGCACCACTGCATGCCGTGCCCCACTGCATGCCGTGCCCCACTACATGACGGGCACCATCTCGTGCACCACATGACTGTGCTTTCCCTGACCTACTGCCTGCCACACTATGCGCCACCACATGCCCTTCAAGTGCCACCACATGCCCTTCAAGTGCCACCACATGCCCTTCAAGTGCCACCACATGCCCTTCAAGTGCCACCACATGCCCTTCAAGTGCCACCACATGCCACCACATGCCCTTCAAGTGCCACCACATGCCACCACATGCCCTTCAAGTGCCACCACATGCCACCACACGCCCTTCAAGTGCCACCACATGCCACCGCATGCACATCAAGTGCCACCACATGCCACCACATGCGCATCCCTTGCCTACCTCTCAAGGCTGCACCCACCGCGTGCATCATTCGCTCGAGAGCGCTGTTGGGGTGGGGCTTGCGGTTGAAGCGCGCGGAGAAGTCGACTGCCAGCTGTGAGCGGTGGGGCAAGCAGGGATGGGACACGCGGATGGCAAAGGAAGCGAATGAAGCGGGAAGGAAGCGGGGAAGTACTCCGGCAACAGCAGAGGCGAATGAACATCACAAGATTCGCCCGACTCGTCCGCAGCCAGCCAGCAACGCTGACCCACCTGCCCCTCTGCAACCCCTGGTGACCCCCAGTTGAGCAGAATGAGCAAGTCGCTCGAGCCCAGCTGCTCCCTCGCCTCCTCCTCCACCTCCCCCAGCGACCGCCCCCCATTCTGTGCTGCTCCTACCCTCTCCTGCTCCGGCAGCGCTGGGCTCCCTCCCTCCACTGGGAGCGGAGGGGGGTCCTGGTCGTTGGGAGCCATGGCAGGCCGCGCGTGCACTGCGCACTGCCGAGCCAACACGAGGGCGCGCACGAGAGGGCGGAGGAGGAAGAGGGGGGAGGTGGTGGTGGGGGGGGCGGGGTGAGGATGCGCGGGAGAATGAAGTCTGACTTTCCATTTCCACCCACAATGGCTGTCAGTCGTCACATGGCTGACAGTCGTCACATGGCTGACAGTGGTGGCATGGCTGCGGTTGAGAGGGGCAACGGAAGGGCGGCTCTGAAAATGCGTGAACTGGAGAAGCCGGGATACATGGGGGATGCATGCAGGCCGGGGGCAGTCCAGGGGAGGGTGAATTCCAAGGGTGAATTACAAAAATTAGGGAAGGGTGAATTCCAAGGGTTTACTAAGGGTAAAGTCGAAGGGCGAATTCCAAGGGTGAACTCCAAGGGTGAATTTCAAGGGTAAAGTCCAAGGGTGAACTCCAAGGGTGAATTCCAAGGGTAAAGTTCAAGGGTGAATTCCAAGGGTAAAGTCCAAGGGTGAACTCCAAGGGTGAATTCCAAGGGTAAAGTCCAAGGGTGAACTCCAAGGGTGAATTCCAAGGGTAAAGTTCAAGGGTGAATTCCAAGGGTAAAGTCCAAGGGTGAATTCCAAGGGTGAACTCCAAGGGTGAATTCCAAGGGTGAACTCCAACGGGGAATTCCAAGGGTAAAGTCCAAAGGTGAACTCCAAGGGTGAATTCCAAGGGTAAACTCCAAGGGTGAATTCCGATGGTGAAGTCCAAGGGTGAATTCCAAGGGTAAAGTCCAAGGGTGAATTCCAAGGGTGAATTCCAAGGGTAAAGTCCAAGGGTAAAGTCCAAGGGTGAATTCCAAGGGTAAAGTCCAAGGGTGAATTCCAAGGGTAAAGTCCAAGGGTAAAGTCCAATGGTGAATTCCAAGGGTAAAGTCCAAGGGTGAATTCCAAGGGTAAAGTTCAAGGGTGAATTCCAAGGGTTAAGTCAAAGGGTGAACTCTAAGGGTAAAGTCCAAGGGTGAATTCCAAGGGTTTAAGTCCAAGGGTGAATTCCAAGAGTAAAGTCCAAGGTGAATTCCAAGGGAAAAGTCCAAGGGTGAATTCCAAGGGTAAAGTCCAAGGGTGAATTCCAAGGTAAAGTCCAAGGGTGAATTCCAAGGGTAAAGTCCAAAGGTGAATTCCAAGGGTAAAGTCCAAGGGTGATTTCCAATCCAAGGGTGATATCCTGTCCCCTCACGAGCACCCTCCTACTCCCCCAGGAGGTCACCCTCTCCTGTGGAAGAAGCATCAGTGCAAGCGCCACCCCCCCTCCATCCCTCTCCCCCCACCCTTCCCCCTCCCCTCCCAACCCCAGTACCCCCACCACTCCCCACTCACCCTCCTCTTTCAACCCGCCAGGCACCAGCTCCGCCAGGCACCAGCTCCGCCAGGCACCAGCTCCGCCAGGCACCAGCTCCGCCAGGCACCAGCTCCGCCAGGCACCAGCTCCGCCAGTCACCAGCTCGGCCAGGCACCAGCTCCGCCAGGCAGCAGGCGCGCGGAGAGGTTGACGTCGGGGAACGGGAAGAGGAGGCGGAGCGAGAATGCGGTGGAGGGGGGCAGGAGCGAGGCGCGTAAACTGGAGAAGAGGGGAAGCGAGGGAGGGGAGTGTGAGGGGAGAGTAAGGAAAGGAGAGTGTGGGGGGAGAGTGAGGGAGGGGAGTGTGGGGGAGAGTCAGGGTGGGCAAGGGGAGGCAGAGACTCGGAGGTGGGAGCGGCGAGAGGCGCAAGAGCGAGACAGGCGGGAGGCGACTCACCTCTCGGGCGGGAGGTGAAGAGCGCGTGGCGAGACGGGGAAGAGAAGAAGGCGCGAGTGGAGATAGCGGGAGGAGGCGAGGGTGCGGAGGGCGAGGTGACGGGGATGCGGGAGACTCCCAATCTCCTTCGGAAGGAGCGGCGGGGGACGGTTGCCAGAGGGCGGCGGCACGCAGCTGCGAGGGAGTGCAGTGGATTCCGGGATTCAGCGCGCTAGTCTGCCAACTTCGTGTCTATTTTTTGCGAACTACAGTATGTCGATCCGAGCCTTAGGATGCACCCGACGTCAATGCAACATTGATACCAGCCAACATCCACGCTTCATCTAGTGCTGATTCGTTACAACTTAAGGTCAATTTTGAGGTTTGCTTTCTTCTTGTTGTGATAAAATCGTACTTAAGCATTTCTGTCGAGTTAAACTGTAGTTAGCATCCGTAGAATGACATCAGCAAATAGCGCTCGTCTGGATGGTTACGTCAGCAGGCCGTTTCAGCCACCCGAACAGTCGCCCTCTTTTAAGTAGTGATTAGAGCGCATAGCGCAAATAGTTTTGAACAGATACATTACCGAACAGGTACTTCTAACAGATATAAGAGTAGCTTGTATGACTTCAATTATTAACTTGTTCTTAGTAAATTCTGGTCAACACTTACAAGTTCTAAGACTTCCGCTGTCTTACTAGTATACCATTCCAGCAAATATCCTTGTTCAAGTCTTGGAGTGTCACAAGGCTGTAACACTGATTCTGGTATTACAACTTGTTAATACTGGCTGTTACTGGAGGTACTTCCAGTATTGCTTTCTACTTCAAGTACTTGTGTCTGCAGTTTCTATACTTGGTCTCCTGCACCACCTTTCAATTTCTTTTATGGTATCAGAGCTGTATGGGATTAAGACTATCGTCAATTCTACAAATGACTGGACCATCATCAGCTCCAACATCTGGTTCTTCAACCACTGGGCCCACGAGTATCACAAATCCTACTGTCTTCACAGGCCACGCAGGTGACTCTGCAGTTGGAAATTCTCCACCTGCTTATTCCTCAATCGGGATGCCTCAATAGCAGAAAGGTTTTCCTACTGTGCATCCACCAGGGACTTCGTCCTCTGCACCTGCAACATCACAGCAACAAGCAGCAGCATCAGTAACAGCGGCCTTCAGTGGTATGAGTATTGATGGTTCGAGTTATGCAAGAGCTGCAGCCGCTCCAAGCTCCAGTCCTTCGTTTGCGTTTACACCTGCTCAACAACAACTTCAATTTATGCAACAACAGCAACAATCACAACAACAGCATCCACAACAACAGCAGTAACAGCACCAGCAACAACAACAACAGTTTCCGCAGCAGTAAATTTCTTTTAGACCTGTCTTTCAGGCTCCCAATCTTTTAAGCAATACGCAGATCAAGACAACAATACCTTTTAATGGTGCTGACTTCTACTCCTGGAGTTTTGAGTTCGAGCTCCTCGCAAAATCCACTGGATTATGGCACTTCTTCAGCGGCGATTACTCGTATCTTGTTACGGGAACACAAATGGAGCAGCAAAGTTTTCTTCATGCTTCACTCAGCGTTTATACAGTTCTTATCCGCAATCTGTCGCTAAAAGAGCAGCTCGGTATACGCTCACTTCACACCAGCTTGACTCCAGCCGAATCTGTATGGAAGCATTTGAAGGGGCTATATATGGCACAGGACCCCATTTCAGTGACTAAGATTCTCTCACAACTAACAACTCTACAGATGCAGGGCAACGAGAACGTTTCAGATTATATCAATAGGGCTCGCACACTTCGCGACCAACTTGAAAAATGCGGCGGATACTTCCCAAAGGACATGTTTGTAACGGTTCTTCTTGCCGGTCTTGGAGCAGAATGGCGGCAGTGTCGATCTCTTCTCCGCACTCAACCAAATATTTCTGAAGCCGAAATTGGTTCGATTCTTCAAGCAGAGCAGCAGGACCTTGTTCTGCAAACAAGACGTAACAAAAAGGGAGCAGTTAATATCAGGATCTATTCAACGCCTGCAAAATGCATCAACAAGTTCTTTCGTCACTACTGCAAAAAGGATGGACACAGCATCAAATATTGCAACAAGCTTCAAGATGATAAGAAACGAGGAGCGCAGCAGCAGTCGCAACAGTTCAAGCAACCCATGAAGCAGAATCCACCGACAACAACTCTTGCCACATCCGGAAAACAAGTCTTCAGTTGTGTTACTACAGTTCATGCAACGGATTCAGATTTCGACGATGAGGAGGAAGAAAGTTCCATCGAACAACCTGAGAACATGGTCTTACCTCAGGTTTATACTAATCTCGCTCGGGTTATTGCACAACCCAACACTTGGTATCTCGATAGTTGTTGTGGTCAACACATGTGCTCTGCCGAGACGCTCTTCATCACTCACCAGCGTCCTCTTCGACGTCCAGTACCAGTCACAGTTGCAAATGGACAAACGATCATGGCAAGATCTACAGTATCGGTAGCGTCATGCTAGATTCTGTTGATACTGGTTTTTCCTTACACATTACGAACATTGGTTTTAATATTCTTTCGGCGGCTCAACTCTTGCGACATAAAATCAGGACACAAGGCAATTGTGAGACTATGGACAGAAACTTCATCACAACGATACCAATACTTACATCGGGAGAGCTGCCACTTAGTATGGCGTCTCCGTTCTTCAATTCGAATCGCAAGGCACTTTTGGAGATTCCGACAGAGTGTTATCTCTTGGGCCTAGACAACATCCTGAAGAGACTGATTATCAAAAGGTTGAAATAGACTTCCATGCAACTGCAGTTCTAATGGGATCTCGTATAGCCGCTGCAGTTATAACGGCTCTTGATTCCTGGCCAACAAACACAGTTGAAGAGGATACATCAGCGTGGCGGAACTACTATGACACTTTAACAGAACTCAACAACAAACCTGAAGTACCTTGGGGACCCAGCAGCAGCAGCAGTGAAGCAGAAGAAGTCGAGCAGCAGAGTAGCAATGAAGCAGAAATAGGGGTTCTCATCGGTCAACCTGCAGCAGACACACCAGAAACAGACATCGAAGAAGGAGAGTTAGTTCTGCAACCAGAAGCAGTTATCGATGTGGAAGGTACAACGACTAAGTTACCTCTTACCCGCTTCGTTTTCCTGGACAACTCGGCGAATCACCAACGCTTTCTCCTTTTGTCATTCCTACTTTTTATGCTAACGCCGATTTTTATCTGCGATCAACAGGACACAAAGCAACAGATGATAGATGGCATCAACGGTTAGGTCATCTGTCTCCGGGCATTCTACATCATTCTATACGGGCATCAGTTCTTGACAAGAATAGCTTACTCTTACCGAATGGAATCGAGATGAAGCCATCTTCACGACTGGCAGTCTACACAACATGCACAACTGCTAATCTTCCTCACGAACCTTTTCCCAGCCATTTTCTAGGATCAACTTGATATACACGTATGCAGAAAGTCTACAACGACATCCTCAACTTACCTAAATCAGGACCTAAGGGGGAGCTATATATGATCTCCTTTATCGAGGCTTCTACTCGATATGTTTGGACGGCAAACATTCCGGCTCGTCATATGGCTCATTCTATGTTCGTCGCGTTGCTCGCAATGGCTGAGCAAGAATCGAAGGAAAAGCTTCAAGAATTTCAAAGTGACGGCGCAGGAGAGTATACGGGCACAACCTTCACTGAGTATCTTCAAACCCTAGGCATCAAGCGCCGAGGGTCTCTGCCACATCAACATCAACAGATGGGGGTAGCGGAGCGGATGAACAGGATGTTACAAGAAAAGATGCGAGTCTTGCTAACTCAGGCAGCACTACCGCCACATTTTTGGACTTACGTTTTGGACCATGCAGTTTTTCTGCACAACTTGCTGTCGACAACTTCTCTTCCACAATTTTCTTCGCCACACCTGCAGTGGACCAAAACAGTGGGCAACACAAAAATTTTAAGAGTTTTTGGGTGAATCGTCCAATACCGACCTCCGACTGCAGCACTCGGGAAATTTTCGGAACCGGCTAAGTGGGGGGAATCCATCTTCGCATCGAGAAGCAGTTTTACGCGTGGAAAATTATGGATCTTCGCACGAGTCGAATCGTACCGGCACGTGATACAGCAGATACCTCGATCTCGCACCGACTTCCTGTACCGTCTCGAACCTATCAACACTATCTCGTGAAATTCTACAAAGCAAGAGCTCGTAGCTCTATCATCTGCTGAAGCTGAGTTTATAGCTGCTTGCACAACTACTCGCGAAGGTCTCTATCTACAAGAGCTACTGGAGGAAGCCAAATTGATGAGAAGTACACACTTCACCCTGCAGTGCGACAACCAAAGTGCAATCAGAATTGCACATCAACCTGGTTTCGCCAATAGGACGAAACACATTTCGCTACGAAATTTCTTCATCAAAGATGAAGTCGAGTAGGGGAGAATGCGATTGGTTCTACTGTTCGACCTATGAAATGACTGCAGATTTCCCTCACCAAGAAACTGACACGTCAGAAGTTCCAGTACTCCAACAAACTCTACGTATTATCAAGAAGTGACACTATCAGACTTCCAGAAATGAAGGGGAGTGTTGTGATAAAATCGTACTTAAGCATTCTGTAAGTAGTTCCGATAGATATTATCGAGTTACACAATAGTTAGCATCCGTAGAATGACGTCAGCAAATAGCGCTCGTCTGGATGGTTACGTCAGCAGGCCGATTCAATCACGCGAATAGTCGCGCCCTTTCAGTAGCGATTAGAGCGCATGGCGCAAATATTTTTGAACTGGTACACTACCGAGCAGGTACTTCTAGCAGATATAGAGTAGATTGTATGACTTCAATTATTAACTTGTTCTTGAGTAAATTCTGGTCAACACTTACAAGTTCTAAGACTTCCACTGTCTTACTAGTCTACCATTCCAGCAAAGATCCTTGTTCAAGTCTTGAAGTATCACAAGGCCGCAACACTGATTTTGGTGTTACAACCAGGGCTGGCGTTTAAAGGAAAGCCACTCTGAGCCAACCCCGGCCGAAAAAAAGAGAGTATGAAGGGCCTTCAGCCAAAATTTTGGTACTCTGTGTTGTGATATGATTCATACTTAGCATTTCTGTAAGTCGATTATCGATAGATAGTATCGAATTCCACTGTAGAAATAAGTCCGTAGGATGAAATCAGCAAAAGCGTCGTCGTGAGGACAGTCGTTTCAGTCACGCGATAGTCGCGTCCAATCAGTGTCATTAG